AATTCGGCAGCATTGTGTTCGACTTGCCCACAGAGTGCATTATAGTCGGCGCGCACAAAATACGAGTACAGTTGAGTCGGGTCGAGTTTTCAGTTGAGTCATTCGACAATATTGGGCAGATAAATATTTACGTAGATGTATGCGTAATGAGATGTTAAATGCCGATGCATACAATGCAACAATGAATTAGGTGAAATAATACACGCAGTTTTGAGGCTAATGCAATACACAACAAGATATTAGTCACAATAACATAGAATCAGATTGGAATAAATTGGTGTCATTTTGGTGTGGAATAGAAAATTACATGAACTGAATTCAAAGTGTGTGAAATTATAGTTTTTGGGAAATTTGATGTTATTTTCGGGAGTTAATGAAAATTAAATAGGAAATTATCAAAAAATAACTTAATAATAATTAAACACAAATTTGTGTGCCTGAGCGCCATCTAGATTCAAAAGATATAACTATAATTATGATAGAGACTCCATAAAAACTTTCATCGCCTATTTTACGCCCTTAAAATTAAAATTTTGCATAAAAAATTATTCTATTAGCTTTTCCTAGCCAATAAATATCTCTATACTAAAATGTATCAAAATTGATTCAATGGTTTTTGCGTAAAAGCGGCACAAACAAACAATTATTACAAAAATCAATGATTTTTAGCTATCCTAGTGAAATTATCAACAATATTCATCAATTTTTAACCTTTCTACCAAGCTAACCTTCTTCCTTATTATCAAGGAAGTAAAATATAACTTACACAAGATCTTAAAACCATTTAATAACAAATTCTTCAAAAAATCCCCTACTCTTCTCAATTACAAATAAATTTTCAGCAAAACACAAAAAACAATCGCGATTCATTGCATTTTAATTGCACTTTCAAGATAATAAACCTCTCTTAATTACCTCACTTGAATTGTACAACACCTCAGTGGAAATCATGTGATTCGCTCTCGTACAACTAATTACACTACATGACGCATTCATCATCAATCCACAATTGTTCCTGTTTACTCAATTTACTTTATTCCACCAATTTCTATTGTTTTTTCCTCATTCTTCTGCTATTTTTAGTAATCACCAATTTGCACTGTGTTTAATTAAAATCGTCATGAACTTTTGACACTATATCAACCGGGATTAATTGCTCTAGAAGTAATTCAGCGATCACGTGAGTTTTCCGCCGCACTAATTAATACCATTTGATGTTATTTACGCAATTACGCAACGCCCCGACGTCTTCGAGTGTTGCACGCGCACGAGACACTCGCGCGAAAATATGAGCCGCACGAAGCGGCCAAAATGAGCAATAATTATGCCGCGCCGGCGAGTCAATTGAAAGCGGCGCGACGAGAGTATCAATGAATCATATTTAATTGCGTTAATTTATGTATCCACTTTTTTCGTTCTCAGAGTGTTCGTAGCCTAGGTACGAATTGCCACGCACAACACATATACTCGTAATACCACCAACGAACGAACGAGAATTCTAGAGGTGTGTAGATCGTGATTACCAGAGAGGTGATTATTTTCGTTATGCAATTGCCATCGATAATCATAAATTTAGCTGATAGTCTCGTGTGTAAAGCTGTGATTATGAAATATTCTGCATTCATGACTGCTTAATTCGAGCTAATTATCAAAGTTGTGTCAGTACACGCGTAAATAATCACTGTTTCTTTTGATCTTTCACTGGAATGTCGAGAAATAAATATTTTACAGGCAATAAAAATGTTTAAAACACAAAAATTATTAAATTTATCGTAATTTTTTAAGAAATAAATATTTTCATACTGAGTGTTTATTTATTCTTCTAATTTCTAATTTTGATTTCTATTTTTTCTGTGACACTGTGGGATCGGTGAGTGAGTGCAAATGTTATAATTGATGTGTGTTAAAAGACACGATGTTTATTATCACGAACAATGTTTATTAAGAAGTCTTGAAGAAGTATAGTTAAGAAGTATTGTAGAGAAGAATAGTTAAGAACTGTAGTGTTTGAAGTAATGTGAAGAACTGTCCTTCCTAAACCCTTGTCACCCACCAGCAACCCTTCAGGTTGATGGGTGGTGACAAGAAATTTGGAAGTAGGAAGAAAGTAATAGATTGGATTGGTAGAAGAAAGTGTATGACATTGAAGAGAGGGAAAGCTGACCATTGGATTCTGGGAATCCGAGTCGTGCCAAACCGTCCGACTCGGGGATTAGGTTTTTCAAGGTAATAAAAGATATTAGGAAATTTGGGAATTTTGGATGAAGAATTACGGTATACAATAAAGATGAAGAAAGTTATAAAGTTTTGAAATACAGAAATAAGCTTTGGGTAAAGATCCCCACAACACTATACGTGATAATAAACACCCGCATAATTAGCGTACTGTACCACGGCAGCGCGCAATACGAGTGCGCAATTGCCGGCATAAATTAAACAGCAAACATTGCGGCGCGATATTAGTCGCACGATTAAAGCAAACAATCTTATGGCGCCGCGTTTATGCATCAAACATTAGAAATTATGTGTGCGTAATCTAAACAGTGCGCGTTTCGCAAAGAACACAATTCGATACGCATACCTATCGTTATCAACGCGTTGGATTACCACAAACCAATTGCATGCGAAACGCGCATAATTGCAATGAAACCTTTATTATTCATAATAAAAATGGAAAATTTTCCTCAAACAATTTATGGAATTATAATTAATGCATAAAATCATTTTTTACATATAAATTATTAATAATTAACCAAGTTTTGTCTTATAAAATTGGTTAATCCCAACTTTTCCATTATAATTTTCATTCCTATCCAGAAAAAGTAAAATTTAACAATTTTATTAAGCATTGCTGCCGAAAATGTCATCAAAAAAGGTGAATACACATACAAAATTCACCAAAACGAAAGAATAAACCATTTATCCAACGATAATTAAACCCTAGAGATGATTAAATATTTTCTAAAAATACCAACTATTGGATTACATATTTCTTGATGAATTCTATATTTAAAAATGAATGAAAAAGTCTAAAAACAGAACAGATCGAAGAAAAAGACGCGCAAAAAAAGCGGATACATTTCCTGTATTTGCTTACTTTCCTCCCTTTCGTTTTCTCTATTCACGCTTTAATGAGTCCGCACATACGGCCGCGTCGCGCGACGCGTATTTTTAGCCACGGCGTCGCGACGCCGCGCATACTAATCAATGCGCTGTATTTTAAGCGCTCGGATGTCGTTCAACAGCACCCAACTCCGCATAACAAGCGCCTTGAGGCGACAATTTCAAGATGAGTGCCCTATAAAGCCCTCAACACGCCAGTGCCATGCATACTGCAAGGCCTCGCGATGCCTACCATCTCGATTTTCGATACACTATACAACTACTCCTACAAACGAGAGAACAAGAACGTTATCGTCTATCAAGTGTAGTCGTACTCAATGCACCCGAGCCTGGAAGTACACCACTCAACTCAAACTCTTTTACTCCAGCTACTTTATGATACTGTGAACTTAACTCGAAAATATTTACACTTTTACAGCACTCTTGTAGGCGCAAAAAGCACGAAAATTTGTTTGATCTTTGGGTATTTTTAACACGCGGCGACAAGATCTGCTGCAAACTGACTTTGACAGCGTGCGAGCAGCGGGGAAAATAATAATAAAGCTAACATACTTGAAAACAAACACGGTTGTGCTCATTGGATGATCATAAATAAAACGTATACATAACACATCATAAAGTTGGTTACCTTTGGAAAAAAAATGCCAGTGAGATGACAGCCAACAAGTATTATATAGAATACTAATGATGTGCGCATAGTTTTAAATATTTAAATATTTTAAAGTCGTCTCGGATGGCCTTGACTTGAATTCGTCAATCAACATTCAAAGCTAATATAATTGAAAACGCAAATTACGTAAGTAATTCAAATAATGCATATTTTTTGCTTTAAGTGAAATAAAACTAATCGAAAAATAATAATATTCGAATGCTTTTATAGTCGGTGAATTGGACAAAAAACATCGAATATTCGGTCTATTATTTCATTTATATAAATTAATTGGCATTGAAAATATTACGATGAAAAATATTAGAATAACAATACAAAATATGAAATGAAACATAAAAATACGGAATATTTTAATTAACGTAATGACAGTTTTATGAAGATGCCCTCTGGGCGAAACATGTCAACTCAAATACAAATTGTAAAATCCAAAAATCACGTAAAATTATAATAAATAAATATTTCAAATAACGTAATGACTGATTTTCATTTTTTTAGTATATTAAGTATCAAGTGGCTAAAGAGAAGTTTTTGTTACGAGACTAATTAAAAACGAGCGTATCGAGTGTTGTTTGACTGAGAGCGCATGCGCAAGCTCCACCCCGTGACTAAAGCCCGTGACTAAAGTATTTTAGTGCCGCAAAACCGAGGAAAAACTTTTAATATTGTGTTTTATCGTATTGTAATGCAATTTTAAGTTTATTTTAAGTACTGCATAACGTACAGATGACGTAGATAGGAAAAACATACTCACAAATTTCCAAAAATAAATATTAACGAATTGCATCTCTAAAACATCGCCAAAAACGGTAATCGACATGGTCAAAATATTGTACCGGATATTCACTCTCTTCCCAACCGAATATCCTTCTCCTCTATACGTGCCAAAATAAGAAAATACATGATTCATCCAAAAAACACATGTTAAATTTAAATCCCCGAAATTCTAAACACATCAACACGCATTTAAATTCTAAAATATTTCGCATGCCATCCCAAGGCCGCCAACATTCCTCTCCAATATTTTCCACGCAATAAAACCTCAACTTGTCATTTGTAAGCAATACCAAACATAATACACCTAACAGCTACCGCAGGCATCACTTGCACTGCAAATATTTACAAGTTTCACTTGTTCTAATTACTCACACACTTCACATCAACAATCCACATAGATAACAGGTTTATTATTGCAAGTTATTCAACTTACCACTATTAACATACACTGCAGCAACGCCATTTGTTTCCTTTTGATTATTATTCACCGTATTCCCATTGGCGCCATTGCAAGCAGCCGATTGCAAAAAATCAGATAGTGATAAAGACGATGCGATTAACTGCCGCCTTTCTTCGAAATTCAAATAATCCAGACTGTTGCTCCGTTGCGGTGCAACAATCGCCACAGATTTCGTTTTAGTTCTTCCATTAGACGTTGGTAAAGTATCATTATGCACAGAAGAAGAACTCGTCGTATTATTCGAGTGTCCGGCATTGCGATGACCATTACCCATATTAACCATCATGGTAACCGTGGTGGTCAACGTCGGACTGACTGCACCCGATCTGTAATCGCCGCCGGTGGACGCGTGGGTGGCGACCGCTGGTTCATCGTTTATCATACCAACGGTGAGCAACGACGTGGGTAACATTCTGGTGATATAGTTGCCTGGTAACGCTTGCGCACGTTTCTCGTGTTTGTTTGTAAACACCTGTTAGCGTCGCAGTGGTATGCAGCAGCGTTCACGCAGCGTTGCCGATTTTCATTTTTTCTTCATCTCCATCCTTCCACTTCTTCGTGTATTTATAAAAACATCACACAAATACAAAATTTAAAAAATAAATAAAAATAAAAGTGCTTCGATTGTCGCCTGGTTAATTCCCGTTCCCGCTTGCTTGCATCATCCACACACACACACACAACACAGCACAACAAATAACAAACAAGTCTATTATTTATTCAGCCGATGAGTTTCCGAGATGTGTATGCATTGTGTTGTGTCATGATCCTCATCTTGATCGTAATTTAACATCGTTGCGTGCGCACGCAGAGAGGAAAATGATGAAACAATTAAATTGTCTCCGCGCACAGAACAGAAAACACACATACAGTCACCTTGGCACACCTTGGAAGTGTTTACATGACGATTAAATTAATTTTACTCAATTTAACTTCCAGCACATTTGTTTCACTTTCAGTTTGTTATAAATAAATTTAGCGAATAGAATGCGCAGAAATATGAAATATGAAAGCGCGACGGTTGGTTTGTAGTGGATTTGAATTGTTGGTGTTCGCGGAGTTTGAGTTTGTGTCTGCACACCAACGCGCGCGGCGGTTAACTGAACGTCGTGCAACGTGCGCGGTGGAGAGGCCCGACGTCGGCGAGTTGTGGGCACGCACGACAACGCGGAACGGCCCGACGACGAGACGACCGGTTGTCGTTGCCGCCGGTTGGCAGGGTTGTGTTTGTCTCGTAAGACTCGTAGTCGTAGAGTAGAGCTCTAAGCTATGCTAGCTTGAGTTGGAAAAGTTGTGCGTCGTACGCGTGGTACGCACGCACTGCGATGCGTTCAGCGTTCAGAATGTGCGTTTTGTTGTGCTGCGCAAGTCATGGCTGCGCAACTTAATATTCATATCAGTTTTATATTTATACAGTTTCTAATAAATATTTCCAATCGAATAATAGTATTAAAACTCTGAGAAAATAAAAAAACTTGTTTTTTCGTTAAAATTTGGTAAGAATTTACGATAAAAATTAGAAAATTCAGCTTTTATTTATATTTATATTAATTTCTACAATAGATTAACTTCAAAAATGAAAATACAAATACTAAAAGAAGCAAAACAAGTTTTTAAACTTTAATAATCATATCGCAGGTATTTATGTTGCTATGGTAACAGTAAACACACGTTTAACTCTATTGCGCTTTGTTCCCAAACCAAAATATTGATTTGTTACCTTTGTTTCCTTCGTACGTACAGTCAAAAAATGAAACAAAGAAAAAAGGTAATAAATTTCAGTTGTATGCTTATGATAGTTACACGTTTACATTTTTTTCTTTTCTTTTTTCCAAAAACCTTTAAAATTCTCTACTAATTCTAAAAGTCTTGTATATCGTGAGTATGTGTACATGCACGAAATAATAATGCCCTTTACACGTGCCTACAAAGAGTCAGGTATAAAACCCAACCGACCTGCCTAAACCCGTAACAACCTGCAGTGCACAAACATGGTGCACAAAATCGACGAGGAAATCCCCAAAACGCGCCGCAACGAAATGGCCCTACCCAAGATAAGGCGCAGTGAGGTAGTGGTAGTGGCAGTAATAGTAAACCGTCAACACCCTCATCACTTCAAAAAGAGTTTAAACCCATATAAAATCGATTTAAACTCCAGAAAATAAAAATTTTAAATTTAAAAGCTAAAAAAGCTAAAAAAAATCCTCAATTTTCAATTCTCCTGTGATAAGTAATTAAAAATCCGTCCAACATAAATCATATTTATGATACTGAAACTGAATGCTGTGTAGATTCCGTACGATTTATTTAATTTTATGGCCCGTTAAACGCCATGAATATTCGCTAGATTCTGATTCGGGTTCTTATTATTTTTTTATTCCGCGTAGAAATCTTACAAGCAATTTTTTCCGGGCATAACACAACGTAACGTCTGATTCGGGGTCGGTTACCCACGCGCGTTTTCTTTCCCCTTGTAATTTGCTCGTCTAGGTAAACGCCGTGTTCTTATTTCTCTGTTTAATTCCGCGCGGGCAGACACAGGCCTTGCAAGTCATAGTCCTATTACTAGAAAGAGTATATCCTGCGTTCCTGAGAAATAACTGAGCGAACTGAGTGAGGGTGCAGACGGTGTAGAGTTGTAGACAGGAGAAAATTGGTAGTATTCCGTACGTATGTGTAACAGGAATCCACCCTATACGAATATATCAGGACCGGATTTATATTTAACTAAATATTTTTAATTTTTAAGATTTAATTATTTATGTTCATTTTATATTGTTTTGGGTTACTAATTTTAAATTTTGTTCATTTTCGGTTGAAATAATGAAATAAATAATTATATGCTGAGTAAATTAAAAAAGAAATATTAAATACTAGCTTTTGCCCGTAACTTCGTCCCGGTAGTGTTTAATAAAAATGTAATTCGTTTTTACTCTCTTGTTCTAGACATAGTATGTGTCAATTCTATCAATAAGATACGCAAATTTTATTTTAAAGAAATTAATTATATAAAGAATTGCTAATAATGCACATCAGCGCGCCATCTCGGATTCAACTATTTAACTATAACTATGATTGAATCTCAATGCCAACTTTTATCCTATAGAAAAGGGCTGTCTTTTGGGTTATCCCGGCAATTATTCGAATTTTTCCCGCCGTAAAAACCATCCTTAAACTTTAACAAAAATTTTACAAAAGAATTGGCCAAATTGATTAAGGCGTTGTTGAGTTATGCGCTTACCAACAGATTTTGCGATTCATTTTTATATTATAGATTTATGAAATAAATTAGTAATGTTAACTAGATAATACCAAATATTTTTTGTTGTTATATAAATAACTAGAAAAACATAATAAATACGTGCTGGGTTTTTGTACAGTTCCTGCCCCAAAAATATTCCACTCTGAGCATATCAGCTCCCGAATAGTTTAAGGGTAGGCCCCGCGTTGCCATGGAAATCTCGCACGGCAGGCTCGCCTTGATGGCCTCCACGGTGGCAACATGCCTTTTCTAAAGCGGATATTACACACGATCAGGCCAGCCACCCGACCAGATAGCAGGATAAATGCTAATAGACACGCGGCGCCGAGAAAAAGGAAAAACGTGTCGACGCTGCAGTTGACTCGTTTTGGGAAACACACGCAAAAAGCAAACAAGAAAAAAAACACACAGACTCGGAGAGACATAAAAATTCCACAAGCAAAAAACAAAACCGTGGTCGTGTCTCAAGTGACGTAAACGAATTGAGATACCCGTACACACATAGAAGCAGACAGAAAAAAAAACACAACGGAACGTTGTCAACAATTATGACATTAGCATAATCACTTCCGGGATGCTATGCGGCCATTATGCGTTGGTCCAAACAAGAAGCGGGCTGAATAATGTGTAATGTGGCTACAAATTGTCGGCGGATTGTTAAGTAATAGACTAATTGATGACATAATAACCGAAAATATTATTAAATCAACATACAACTGTTGTTTATCCTCGGTTGGAAATATTTATTGTGTGTGCCAAGGGCGGAATATAAAATTTAATGTCATTTGTGTCTATTCAGTTTCCGCCCACCAGACATTTTATAAAGCAATACATTTTTTAAAATTAATTATTTATTAATGTTTTTGCGTTTAAAATAAAATAAATGCGCATGAAAATTGTGAATTATATTTATAACTACCACTGTTTTAACACGCAAGATATTTTATGCTAATATGTTGATCTTAGCGCCATCTATATTCAAATAAAATAACTATAAACATGATTTAATCTCAATATTACCTTTCCTCCCGTATTTAACACCCTTCAAGTTAAATTTTTGTAATAAAAAGTAGCCTATTTGATTTCCTTTGAGTAAAACTAGCTCTATGCCAAAGTTTATCAAAATTAGTCGAGTAGTTTCCGAGTAATCGCGTCACAAAAAAAATCAACTTAAAAACTAATCTTTTTGTTATTTTTGCCAATATTTCCAAGTTTTATTGTGGAATTCCAAAAAAATATCAAATAAACCAAAAATCTCAAATTTTCTACTCTTCCAAAGACATAAACAAATTTTATCATTACAAAACCATAAACCTTAAGCAAATTATCTTCAATTCATGCATAAATTGACTCTGATTCCTTTTCTTGCAGACATATCATGCACCCACTCTTGAATGCCTTGAATGCATCTCTCACACAGCTCAAACTCTCACACAAAGAATAAAATAGATAAATTGTTAAATGAACGACTCATTGAATGCGGCGTCGCGTCGCGTTGTCGTTGTCGTCGTCGTGGCGTTAGAGGCTTACGACTTGCGGGCGAGACGACGGCGCGTTCTGAATCATTGAACCGCCCGCCCGACGACTTCACGTACACTTACTTACATACACACAGTTACAACTCGCAACCTCCCACGCCAATGTGACGTGTGCGTAATTCAATTGTCGACGCACGCTTGATTCAATCAACGAATCGTTGGAATACTTTTACTTTTGCAGCCAAACGACGTCATCAACGGGACCACGATTGTTATGAATAAATAATTTAATCATTCGCGACTTTGTCCTCGTAATTTTTTTAGTTATAATGTAATTAATTTTTTATATTTTTGCGAATTTCATCAATAAAATGAGTAACTTTATTAAAAACTAGCTTTGGCCCGAGACTTCGTCCCGGTAGTATTTAATAAAAATGTAATTCGTTTTTACTTGTTCTAGACATAGTATGTGTCAATTCTATCAATAAGATTCGCAATTTTATTTTAAAGAAATTAATTATATAAAGAATTTCTAATAATGGACTTCAACGCGCCATCTCGGATTCAACTATTTAACTATAACTATGATTGAATTTTAATGCCAACTTTTATCCTATAGAAAAGGGCTGCCTTTAGGGTTTTCCCGGAAATTATTCGAATTTTTCTCGCCGTAAAAACCATCCTTGGACTTTAACGAACATTTAAAAAAAAAGAATTGGCCAATTTGGTCTAGGCGTTGTTGAGTTATGCGCTTACCAACAGATTTTGCGATTAATTTTTATATTATAGATAAATGAAAACGGCAAATAATGCACTTTAGCGCCATCTAAATTTAAATTATATAACTAAAACTAGCATTTGCTTTTTATATTAACTTTCATCCCCTATTTAACACCCTTTAAAACATATTTTTTGATATTTTAATAGTTATTCTATTATTACAAATCCAGACGAATCCAAAAAATCATAATTAAACAAAATCTGTCCAGCGGTTCTTGAGTAATAAATGCTGTAACTAACAAGATTCTCCTTTGTGTATGTATATAGAAATAGATTACTCGTATCGCAAAAATCCGACAAGTCTTTACAAATATTTTGATTGTTCCATTGATTACAAACATTATGCTTTGCATAGCGAGTCTATTTGTTCACATGTCTGCCTGCATGAATCAGTAAATTTCCAAGTAACGATTCTATGCCGGTAAATATCTAATAATGTATGCGCAAATGAAAGCGTTACATGACAGCGCCAACGTGTGAAACATCCTCGGCGTAATTTTATTCCCAGATTGATAATGAAAACGAAAATATATGCAAAAGTTGCTTTTGTGGAGGCGCATCAATCTCGCTTGTGAAATAACGTACTAGTTTTAGTGAAAGTTTTCCGAACTGAACATAATA